AAACTTTGTCATACCTTTGCAAATGAAAATAAGCAGGTATTTCTGATTGGCGACTTCAATATTGATGTTTTACAATATACTTTTTGTTAACACTCTCTTTTGCAATTTTTATTTACCGTTAATACGAAGGCCTACTAGAATAACGTCAACTACTGCTACTCTACTTGATGATATACTGACCAATCAGCTTGATTTACCACTTGCGAGTGGCCAACTTTATTGTGACATTTCCGATCACTTACCTGTTTTTTCCATATCTTCACTGACACACAAAAACACTCAATCAACCAGTGTACTACAGAACAAACCTTATAGGCAAATTAATACAAAAAATTTTGAACGTTTTAAAGAAGAACTTAGTGAAACATCATGGGATGAAGTGAGTATACTCCAAAATGTAAACCAAACTTATTCAAAGTTAATGTTTTTATATAATAAACACTTTCCAAAAAAATTCAAACTAACAAAAATTAAAAATTAAAAAACATGGATGACTGATCATCTATTACAATCTATTAAATATAAACAAAAATTGTATGCAACATATTTTCGTAATCCAACTGAACAAAACAAAATTAAGTACAGTGAATTTCGTGACACTTTAAACTCCCTATTAAAATGTGTTAAAATTGATTATTATTTAAACAGATTTCTTCAGTGTAAGCTCGATATCAAAGGGACATGGCATATAATTAATACATTGATGAAAAGGTCTTCGAACACAAACACTGATGTAATAATAGATGATAACGGTTAACCTATGAAAGATTCAACTGAAATCGCAAATGCGTTTAATAAGTTTTTTGTTGAAATAGGCCCAACCCTTTCTAATAAAATGCCGACAAATCGACCCGAATTTAATAAATATTTACCTCAACCTCCCTGAATTCATTGTTTATGCTTCCAGTATCGGACACTGAAATTATAGACATTGTTAATGGCTTTAAATCTAATAAAGCACAGGGACTTGACGAATTTAGCCCAAAAGTTATAAAACAATCAATTTATTTTTTAGTTAAACCTCTTTGCCATATATTTAATTTATCTTTAAAAAACGGGGTTTTCCCAGATCAATTGAAATTAGCGAGAGTCTCCCCTATTTTCAAAATGGGTAGGAAGGATTCATTGTCCAATTACCGACCAATATCTGTTCTTACTGTATTCTCCAAAGTATTAGAACGTATTATTTACAATAGAACGTATGCTTTTATTTTTAAAAAAACGATATCCTTTTTGATAAGCAATTTGGGTTTCGTAAAAGCTTTGACACATCTATGGCATTAATTGACTTTTCCAACGAAATATGTTTGCAATAGGTTTATTTATTGATTTATCAAAAGCGTTCGATACTATTAACCATTCAATCCTGCTCTCTAAACTGTATCACTATGGTATCCGTGGAGTTCCTCACGATCTTTTTAGGAGTTATTTGACTAACCGCTACCAATGCACAACGTATGGTGGCTCACAATCTGATTACTTGCCTATTAGTTGCGGTGTCCCTCAGGGCTCTCTCTTGGGCCCCCTTTTGTTTCTTTTATATATAAATGATATTTATAATTCTTCATCATTATCGTTTTTTTTATATGCGGATGATAAGACTACGGTATATATTGTAGAAATAAAAATTTAGAATCATTATTTCGTATAGTGAATGCAAGTCTGGGAGAATTATCCGAATGGTTTCTGGCAAATCGCCTCGCTATAAATTTAAAGAAGTGCAACTATGTATTGTTTAGGAGTACCCAAAATCCAATTGAACTAGGTCAGCTGCAGATCAAACTCAATGATTATGTTTTTCCTTTGGTTGATCACTCTAAATTCCTTGGAGTATCCATTGATAGTCGTCTATCATGGAAACCCCACATATTTGAAATTGAAAACAAAATTGCAAAAAATATTGGTATAATATATAGATTGGCATCATTTCTTCCCAATAATATCCTCCGCACTCTCTATTGTTCCCTTGTTCTTCCATACTTGTACACTCCAAAAGAAAATCATACGTATAATCTCTGGCGTCCCACCAAGAACTAGTACTAACCCCTTATTTCATTCTCTAAAAGTATTAAAACTTAAAGATCTTAATACACTTCCACAGTGTTCTTTTGTATATAAAAGCTTAAACTCCATTCTTCCATCTCATTTACGTTCTATATTTGCACCCAATAACGAATTACATGACTATAGTACCAGAATCTCAAATAAACTCTACATTCCCAAACACAAAAAAACTTCATTTTAACATAATATTAGATACACTGGACCTAAAATATGGAATTCGCTCCCTCTAAACATATCTGATGCACCATAAAAAAAAATCTTCCATTTCTAAAGTGAAAAATTATTTAATCAATAATAATATTGATTAAATAATTTTCCTATAAATGTTGATTGATATTTTACTATTTAACAGTAGCTTTAGTTTTTTTCCCTTATAATTCCTATTATGTATGTTTTTTCATAATAATTTTTCATTTATATTTTGAAATGCTCTATTATCATTATTATTATTATCATCCTTTTAAATGTTTGTCTTTTTTTCTCGTTAATGTGTTGTTAATTGTCTTGGACACATCCATCACAAGCTCTGCTTTTCGGAATTGTGCCCCCTTCAATACTTATGTTATTTATTTGTTACATTTCAATGAATAAATTGTAATTTACGTTTTGAAGGAAATAAATGTTAATTTTGATTGATTGATTGAAAGTCTAAAATAACTGTTTTACAGTCATAAATTAGACTGACTCGAACTCATGGTATGGTGGCCATTTTATTTAGTAACTCAAATAACTCAAACGACAACAATAGTCCTCTCTGCAATAGAGGGCGCTAGACATAATTCTGCTAAACCACTCTTCTGTGATCACTTGTCGAAGGTACTTGAACTTTTGCAATTATTCCAGCTGCTGTCTGTTCAAAATTATCTTAATGGGTTGACCTCCATTTGATTTTGTCACTACCATTGTCTTTGTATTTTTAACATTCATTCTAGGCCTAGCTTCCTCACTCCTTCTCCGCACTTCTTCCACAATGATCTGCAACTTCTCTTTTGACTCCGCTATTGGTGCTGTATTATCCACATAGTAAGCTGAGTGATGTTGCTCAATGGCCCCATCTACATCTTTGACAACAGCGGATTTCCGGCTTAACCAAACCCTGCAAAAACGGGTTACTGAGGCTGGGCATTTCTGACTAAGATCATGCATAATTCCACCCACTTTTATCTACTGGGAGACTGCCCCCCCCCCCACTTTTGTGACTGTTTCCAGCACCAGTGACAAATATTACGAATGCTGCAATGTCATTAGTATTATTTGCATCTTATAAATCGACCTACTGTATACAATTTTTCATTTTCAAACGAACATAAAAGTTCCCTTTTTGAGTTGAGCAACCAGATGTTGATTGAAGTCTGTATATACGTGTGTCTGTAAAGTTTTCTTGAACTTACCCTCGAGCATGAAGATAAAAGAGCGGAATCGCCCGTTTTGCGCTAATTCTGTATTTATGCATAAGGTGGAGGTAGGCACTCTTTATGAAGCGAAACTCTAGTTCTCTTTATGTTAACCATGAATATGTAAGTGTAACTGATTTGCTTACAGTATAAACCTTCAAACTAGCGTAATAGAACCACATTTAAATTCCATCTAATTTAACGAAAACACTAAGATACTAATAAGAAAGTATAATACATACATACGTCGTGTATTTCAATACTTGGAGTATGTATTATACTTTCCTATCTGAGATTAATCAGTGGACCTTTCGGTTTCTATACTGAATTAGGCCATTTATTAAAATAAAGTTCTCTGAAGGTTAACTACAGAATTTATAGTACACTGTAGGTAATGTGTAATAGATTGTAAAAATTGTATTGAATACAAAAAATATTTTGAATAAAAAAAATCTTTCACTTCCCATTAGGAAATAGTCATATGTGAAACAAAATGATAGGCTACTGTAGGTGCCATAATCATATTTTTTCTTACTGCAGTATTTTTCTTACGTTTCCTTATGCATTGGTCCATTAGAGCCAATATTTTTTCTGTTATCCATTCATTCTTTGGTTTTTTCTTGGTTTTCCTTATACAGAGTTCTATTAATCTGTTTCCTTTTTCATTTCTCCAATTCCCCCCTCTTTTCATTTCCTTTAAGTTGTTCGATTTCCTCACATCATTCATTAAAACAACTTTCTTTAGCTTCTCTGCACTTGTACTTGATGTCACGATCAATTCGATTGTATTTCTCAGTATTTTTCTTACGTTTCCTTATGCATTGGTCCATTAGAGCCAATATTTTTTCTCTTATCCATTCATTCTTTTGGGGTTTGTCATTTTTGGTATAGTGTACTTGGCAGCATTGTGAATACTATCTTTTATGCTTTTTAAAATACCCTCAGTTTCTTCTACATTTGGTTCAATTTCTTCCTGTAGTAATGCTTTAAACCTATTTTTGACTCTTATTCTATATTTGAGTATTAACTCTTCCGTCTTCAGTGCATTTATGGTCAAGCTGTTCTTTGTGTTTCCCTTTCTTTGGTATCTTTAATTTTACCGTTAACTTTGACATCAACAGGCAGTAGTTGGTGTTTAGGGCTGCTCCAGTATGTATGTGTGTTCTTTGTACTGTTTTTTGGATCATTCTTTTTATCATGATGTAATCAATCTGGTTCCTATACAGATCACGAGGACTTCCATGTATATAGTCTTCTTGGATGTTGTTTGAAGAAAGTATTCATCACCGCTAACTGGTTTTCCTTACAGAGTTCTATTAATCTGTTTCCTTTTTCATTTCTTTCTCCAGTTCCCCATTCACCAAATATATTTCCTTCTCTTCCTTTTCCTATCTTTGCATTGTATGATGTCCTGTGATTTCACTTCTTTCAGCGCTTTCTGTATGTTATCGTAAAACTCTTCTGTTGGAGCGTAAACTTATATGATGACCAGCCTAAAAGGTATTGCATCCATATTATCATTATAACTCGGTCTGAGACTGGCTAATATCCTTGTACCGCTCTTGTACATCTTTTGTTGATGATAACTACTACTCCATTTTTGTGACTTTTTTCCGCCAGAAAAAACATGACATGTTCATCCTTGTTTATCTGGCCTGGATCCAACCACTTTACTTCTGCAACTCCCATGATGTCAGTCTCATAGGATTTCATTTCTCCAATACAATTATCCAGCTTTTCAGCTTGATACATTATTCTAATGTTCCATTTTCCTATTTTCAAGGGACAGCCCCTGTGTTTTAGTGTAGCATCATCAGGCAATACCCTTCCATGTGGATTGAAGCTACTGTCGTCATTCTGCATACTCCTACTGGCAGTTGTCACATCTTCTTCCTTCTCACTATTAACAGGATCCACAGCAGGGGTCTCAGTGTCACCTGTATCGTTTTTTCTCATGGAAATCATTTCATCTAAAGGACTGATACTCTGTGAGATCCCAGACTCTTGAGAAATGAATGGCCACTCATCCTTACACATATGTGTCATACATCATGCTATCACATGCCTTCCAAGCCGTTGATCCGCTACAGTATATCCAGGATTTATCCACCTTTTCTGCCACTCCAGACCTCGTACACTCTCGGAAGTGGCATCCTCCAACTACGTAAGCAGCCCCTACTAACGCCCCCACTTAGTTTAGCATGTCAGTCGAGACATGGTCACGGGGTATGGCCAGTGGCGTGCATTACCACCTTCTTGGAGGCACAGGTGAGAGTTCAGAGCTCCTAGAAGACCAAAGTATGTTCTCCAAACTATAATTGGCAGCAGAGCTACTGTATCACTAGATACTACTTCACTGGAACCTCTCCATATACCCACCAAGTCCATGCGACATTTATTTCTGTTGTTGTATGAGTAGTGTTGCTGCAAACATCATTTCATGCCTCGTATTTTATGTTTTAGTTGTACAGCACAGTAATTGTTATTTTAACGTTGTGGACGCAGAGCAGAGCTGTATAACATAGACTAATATGAAGGTACTATATTCCCGACAGCCAGCTATGTAGTAGCATACCCTTTGAATGCAAACTGCAGACAAGTGTAGATATAAAGGCAGCCATGACTGTCAGGTACATAATGACTTTCTAGCTTCCCCACCCTGATATCATTCCAAACTACTGTAAAATGAAAATTAAAAAAATAATTAATAAAGACACTTATAATTAAAGAATGTAATTTATTTTTCCAATTTTTTTTTTTCAATTTTCCCCAATTTTTTTTTTTTTTTTCATTTCTATTAATTTTTAAAATTTTTTTTTAATGAGAACATTTTGTATATTTTCAATTTCTTTCAGTCTCGGCCTAGCCCCTGTGGCATGTTCGTTTTTTCCTCTAGTACACCTAGGCCTACCTCTACCACTCCTTAATACCTCTATAGTACCCCTAACACGAAAATCTGTACATCCATGTCACTTACCTCCAGGCCAGGCCTAGGCTTAGTTTTGGCGTGTTCGTACCCATCGCTATTAACAGATTAATCGGCCGAATCACCGACTAAATTGTGATAAAAATCATTGCCTCTGCTCTCACTGTCGCTGTCTAGATAGTCCTCAATGACTTTCTTAACAGTGATCTGCCTTCTGGTAACCATTTTCAAAATCGATGAAAAATATGTATGATTTAAATTTTCAAACAAAGATCACAGAAAAATTTTTTCACAATTGCACTCTAGCTTTTTCCGGAAACAATGAATATAAAAGCTGTTTGGCAAGCTAAACAAAAAATTGAGAGTGCAGACCAGTATTTACTAAGCTCAGAGCGTTTGAAAATTCCCATGAGTCCTGTCGCAATTTTGCGCCAACGGATGCATATGGGCGAAATTTGTTTCTGTTCAAAGTAGGATGATTGTTTATATTGTTTGTGTTTACATGTTCTTTCAGGTTTTTTTCTTTGGCTCACCCAGTTATTTTTGGCTTCTCGAGCGGATCACCTCTTGTTATTGTCAGCATCATCTTTTTTTTTATTCTTTCTTTCTCCCAATTTCGTGTGTGTACGATATCTCAAAATTGCCTTGAGCTACGTACATATGACGAACATTTTGTTCGGCATGGAATAGTCAAAGTAACCTGTTCAATGTGTACAGTCATGCGTGACGTCAGTTTTATTTTTTTTAAATTTTATTCAGGTATAAAAATAATACAAAAAGTAGCCAAAGGCTAAAATTATTGCATTTACAAAAATATAACAGAACTGTCAGAGACAAATGCCACACCGGGCAGCAGTACTCAATGATCGGCCGTATATAACAAGTATAACCTTTAACCTTTAACCATGTCACTGACAGAAGCACCACTTCTTTTTAAGAGACTGAGTGAGAATAAATGCCAAGAGGCCTTATTACAAATTTCACTCACATGATTATCCTAGTGAAGGTAAAAAATTGTGTTCACATACACATGTCATCCAAAGCTTATATTTCTTATTTATTCCAATATTTACTAGACCATTTGTCATTTAAGTTTCAACAAGTGAACCTGAAACTTATGAGAAAAGAAAATATAGAGTGGGAGGTTTCAAAGAATAACTGTTTTTAGGTAAAAAAACAACTTAAATATTTATTGACAAAAAAGATTGATGTTCTGTTTTGAAAAGAATCATTGATCTTTTTTGTCAGTTAATTTTGTTATATAGTAAACGTCTGTTAATTCGTAAAAAAAATAACAAAATAATACTTTTAAATCCCAATTTAACCCCTGACTTGATAAGTGACCTTTGGTTGGTGATATGAACAGGGTATCACTTGTCAAATAAAGGTTTGCATGGCAATGTAATAATATATTTAATGCTTGCGGCACACCACCGCAAGCAAATATATTAAATATATTTTTAAATGTTAATTTAAGGTGTAGGTCAATGACCACAATATACTGACTAAAAGATATTTTTCCATGTGTAAAATTAACCACACTAATTGTTGTTTCAGATTCTCTTTCAAGCATAGACCTACAGCCAATGGAAAAAAAAATGAAGTTTTCACACAAAGGTAAAATATTATGTTTTGATATTTATCTTCGTCTAATTGATTACATCAGAACATGATCTGGCCATATGCTACTGTATAGTCAATTAAAGCAATATGCAGTATAATTTAAATTAATTTTTTTTTTCTGTAAAACTTTTAATATTACTCAGATTTTAATACTTTGTTTCGTCACATTGGACTTTTTTTAAAACCTAAAAAATAGTGTTTTATTTGCATTATAATTCACACTTTGGTGAAAATTTAAAAAATTAATAACCTCAGCTGTTACTGGAAAATTGAAAAACTTATCAACCTGTGATATTGTCTTTGGAAATAAATATAGCTGTATATGTTTTAAAAGGTCAATTTCATAATTTTAATGGAAAATTCTCATGAAATATGGAAAACATGCATATTTTGCACTTATGCATGCTATTTCAATCACTTGGGTAATCTTAATAGAAATTAAATTTTAATACTTTTTTGTCAAGAAATTACAAAGCCATTAATACTGCAAAAACCATAAGAAAGAAACTTGAATTTAAAAATTTTGAATTTAAACCATTAAAAAAAATCTATCGTAAAAACTGATGCACATGGTGATTGTATAATTTGGAAAATATTACAAGTTTGCTATTCAAACAGAATATTGTTAAACAAATAAGGGTTTCTGAAGAAAAATATTGTGATATCTGCCATTGATTTTATCTTTATGAATCAATGAATGTCTCTTTGTTTTATGCAACTATGGTGTAAAATTACTAAAAATTATCTCAGTTGTAACTGGAAAATTTATAAACTTATGAACTTGTGATATTACCTTTGAAATAAATACAGCTGTATTATGTTTCAAAAGGTCAATAGAATGATTTTAATTTTTTTTAAATGAAAGATGGATAATATGCATGCATACATGTTTTTATTAATGACCTATCTTTAAGGGAAATGCAAAATCGCCAGCTTGACAGATGGCAAAATTGATACACAACTGTTTAGATAATTTGTATAGATGACTCGTATGCAACTTAGGCCTTCATGTCTTCCATTGTTATTTTCATGTCGTGTCTTGGGATTTTGCTCACTTCAGATTGAAGTAGTTTGTAGAATTCATCCTTCTTGTCATCATCGTTATCATTAGTTGGGGCATAGCACTGAAAGATAGTGGTGTTGATATGTCGTCCTGTAAATCTTAACTTCATGAGTCCAGTGGCGGCGCCAGCGTGGTGGGGGGGGGGTGGTGTACACCGGACAGGTCAACCCCCCCATATGACAGAGCTCTTCGGGCAATCGGACTAAAAAATATATGAACATAAGCACACGCCAAGCCAACACATGTCTGTCACAATCAGAGAGTGTCATTTCTGGCCTACCAGAGGTTCCTATTCTTAAAAAATCTCATTTGGGAGTGGGAACACACTATCAACCCTTCCTTCAGCTCGGGCCTACGAGCCCAAGTCCCCCGCACCCCAGTCGGGCAGCTCAGCACCCCCCCGCCCCAGAAGATATATCCTAGAGCTGCCACTGCATGAGTCTGCTGTTTATTGGTTTCCACTTCAGAAGATTCCACTCTACTCCCTTCTTTAGAATGACAGCTACTCCTTCAGAGTGGTGTCCATCATCTCTACCGGAGTATAACATTGTCTCTCCTGTGTTTGTTTTGTGGCGTCATTATCCTGTCCATCTGCAAATTATAGCATCGCAGTCAGAGCCTGTTTATCTACACATTTCTGAAGTTGAATTTTAGTAATGTATATGCCTGAACTAATGTAGTTTTATTTATATAACGCTTTATACTGAAGTATAAAAGCGCTGTGGACTAGCTTGTACAGTGACTTTTCTCCTCCCCTCTAAGGGTGTCTTCATGTCTGAGCTACTCGGTAAACCGGTAGCAGCTACTCTCGTCTGTCCACAACAGGGGCTGCATAGACCAGTACACCGGGGTAACCCCTGACTCATCTCAAAAGATGTTCTGGGTTCTTTAATGTGCAGATGAGCCAAATTGTGTACACTGGTCCTACGTTTTAGAGAAGAAGACTTGTTCCACCACCAGAGGCATAGGCAAGCATGCCGTTCGAACCAGCGCCGATATTATGTCTGTAGGTTACGGCGCCCCTGCACTAAACGCTCGGCCATCCGACTCGATTGAAGACCCAGTATCTGCATTTTTAAACATATATTTAATATGTACTACTAGCTTTATAATATTAAAACATTAATTTGCTATTGTCTTGCAAGCTACTTGCTAACAAACAGACAAAAATAGAATAAAGCAATTTTTGTTAATAAAAGCTGGAATCTTAAAATGCCAAAATGTGTTTTAGTAAGAAAGCCTAAAGTTAGTTTCAGAAAAGATCACATTTATTTGGTGGTGGAGTGTGCAGCAGACACTCCTGCGTTGTGTAATCTGTGGCAACAATGCTGATATGTGATCTAAAGATCATCTTCTTCTTACCATGTTCCATTATATTGTGATGTTATGCTTTACACAATTTGTTTCCATTTTTCTCTGTTCAAAGCAGGATGATTTAATTGTTATAGTGTTTGTGTTTACATGTTCTTTCAGGTCTTTTTTCATTTGGCTCACCCAGTTATTTTTGGGTTTTCTTACTGGTTGTTTGCTTTCCGTTTTAGCTCTCCTTTTGTTTTTTTGACTGGTGTTTTTTTCGGTAATCTAATTATATGTCCCTATCACTTTAATCTCCTGCGTTCTGAAATCAACTGTTCATCAAGCAACAAAATGTTAATGTTAATGTTTAACATTAAGATAAACAAATCTATAATGTTTTTTTCTTTTTTGTTAAAAATACAAAAGTGCCATCAGTGGGACCAAGTAAACCTTTAAATATAACATGTTATTTTAGGCCATTTATTAGTGTATACTGTGGTAATCACTTAATTCTCTAACAAGTACAAATCCGTTGTAATTGCAAAAAAAAAAATGTTGAAAAGAAATAGGTAAGCTCTACATCATGTTAATTATATAACTTATATTACAGACATATGTATGGGTGAGAAAGAAGAAAAAGAGCAAGATGAGCTCTTTGTGAGTCGAGCAAGAGGTCATCAGTATGTCAAGCAAAGCAAGCACACAGCTAGTGAAGGTAAAAAATTGCGTTCACATACACACGTCATCTAAGCTTATATTTCTTATCCAATTTTTACTAGACCATTTGTCATATAAGTTTCAACAAGGGAATATGAAACTTATGAAAAAAGAAAATATAGAATGAGAGGTTTCATCGAATAACTGTTTTTAGGTAAAAAATCAACTTGCAAAATTTATTGACAAAAAAGATTGACGTTCTGTTTTGAAAAGAATCATTGATCTTTTTTGTCAATAAATTTTGTGTTAAAGTAATATAGTAAACATTATAACATGCATAATGGAGTAATGTATTAATGTTATTTCCTAATGTTATTTTTTATAGAAATGTCAGAGAGGGACTTCAGTGTTCTTAAAACGGTTGTCTCAAAGTGGTATAAGGAAAATGGATGTCTTACTATGTTGAAAGTGTTGTTCAAAGATATGGTGGACAATGTAAAACTAGCAGAAATAACTGACACGATAGACTTGATGAATGAATTGGTGATACAGGGCAAGATGAGTGCAAAGGACCCTACTCTACTGTATGATACCATCATAATAACTGGACATATTGCTCTTCAAACAAAGATTAAGGAAAAACTACCATCATTACCAGATGTAGAAGGAGGAACCATTTCAACAATTTTCACAGATCATCGACAAAAGCTGATGAAATTAGGGAAGAATTTGACACAAGATCATGTGACGGAGATCGATGGATTATGCAATATACCTCGTAAGACATACAAAGACAGTTGGAGTATGATCACTGATCTAGAAGACAGACTGAAAATCAGCGAAGAAAATATGAAAGATTTCATCGAGTCGTTGAAAATTCTTGAACTTCCTCTTGCATTGAAAGCACTAACAGAAGATATTAACTAAAAGAGAATAGATCATTATCCTATCTTCCTTTTATACAAATGAAGACTACAGTATATAATTCATATCAACAGGTGAACCCAGTCCTAGAGTTTAGATGTAACAAACCTCCATGAATGCAGGTAATGGGTCCGACTAATTACCGAAATGATAGGGAATTACCCAAATGATACCTTTTTGTTTTGTTTTTTACCCATTCTCAAATCATGATACAAAATGATATAGTTCATTCATCTCACTTCTCATAACGCTCACTTGTTATAATACTGATTTTATTTTAAATGCTTAACATATTTATGTATATTGAAATCCACTAACAGTTATGGTATGGATAATGTTACCCAACATCAAATATGACCATGTTTTGTTGAAATAGACCAATTAGAATGATCCACTTCCTTCCATGTGAACTCCATTTCATCTTCTTTGGCATAATGGCACCCCATACGATATTGATTTATTGAAGAATATGTAGTTGGGTTTTCCCTGTGTGAAATGAATAGCTGACTATTATTGTCATTTTTTGAAAAGCAAAATGTGCAATTATCGAAAAACATATTGGATGTTGGGTGTTGCCAAGAAACGCTTACCAGAAATAACAGTAGTACTGTACACCTGGTTAATTTGAAAGTGCTACATTTATTTTTTTTAATAAAAAAGAAAAGAAAGAAAAAAAAATTGCTAGGGTAAGCCAGTAAACTTGAATGTAGCCAGTTTGAATTAAATGCACCTGAATAAATCAATAATATTCATATATGTTATTTTGTTTTATATTCATACAACATACATTGTTTTTTAAAGGTATCTTAAGATTCTACTAATAAATAACAAATAATATTTAATATGCTTAGTAATAATACAGATAAGTAAATATAAGTAATAACAATAATAATAGTAGTAATAAAAAAAATAATAACAAGTAATAATGGTTTTTATATTGTATATTTGGTGTTTTGACTCACTGTTGCGTCTTGAATAAACAAATAAATAAAAAATTAATAAATGATAATACTATATATTATTATAGTATCAATAATAATGTTAAAATAGTAATAATAAACATAACAAAATAATACATATATATATGTCAATGTTAGAAATTATTATAATAAATTCTATAGTTATTTGCTATAGGCCTGGGGCTACTAACATCATATTTAATGTTTAGTTTGATATAAACGAATTAACAGTCATTTTGGCTATGATTTTGGTAAATCTGTATCATTTGGGTAATTCCGTATCATTTGGGTAATTGGGTACGGTATCATTTGGCCATCATTTGGGTAATTCCCTATCATCTGGGTAATTCATCGGACCGCAGATAATTTGCTTTGATAATATAAATTTACTGTTTAGGTATATACAAGCTGCAGTATAAAAGAGATAAATGATGTATGTATTGATAGATGCCTAGTTAGGCATACCATAACTTTTCAAAATATGATGCATCAATTGATATTGACAAGGAACAAGTAAGAGGTGCTAGCTCGTAAAATGTGGTGAAATGAGGTAATTTTAAAACTTCAGCTTGATTTTTTTGCTACAAAACCTTTCAATGATGGGAGGTTGAATGGGTGTGCACACCTCCCTAGTTATGTCACTGTGATATACATATTTAGAATCATGCAATGTTAGTTTGATTCCATTTTTAGAACGGAGCAGTGAAAATTATTCTTAATTTTCTTTGTAGTATTAGTAAAGCACATAGAATCTACTTTCTTGTATTATGCACTAAATAAGACTTAATTTATTATTATTATTATTATTATTATTAATATTATTATTCATTGCATATGAGATGAAATTGTTAATATTTTTTGTAATTCTTAATTAAAGTGTTTTGTTAAAGTTTTGGGAGCCAGGAGTTGAAAGTGCTGACATCTAGAATGAAGCACACATGTTATACGTTTTGTGTCCTTTGCTGGAGAAGTCTGTGAGAAATGCACTTCCACAGTTTAAAAGGATGCCTGGAAAACGACTATACCCCATGCCGGAAGGAACTGATAACGACAGGCAAACTTCGGAGGATGTTCAAGAACAAGCAACTAGTGCAGGTATAAACAAACTAAGGAATATTAGCAATACTAGATAACATTAATTTTACTAAACCTCATAAAAATATTAAGTAATACAACATTTCATTAGTCAGGGGCGGATCCAGAGATGGGGGGGGGGGCGAAATTTGGGCCGATCGAGACAACAATGTCCTAGGGGTTCCGGGAGCATGCCCCCGCGAAATTTTTGTGTTCTAGACGCACGAAAATAACATTTAAGGCGTTCTGGGCTATCATTTTTTTCTTTTTCTTTCTTTTTTCTTTCTTTTTTCTTTTTTTTATCTCCCAAAATTCGGATATCCGCCCCTGTTAGTCGATTAAACTCTGTATGCATTGTAGTGGTTGTGAAGACTAGGAATAAAGTACTATGTAAAGTTGCCTACCAAACCTCTGCCAACATGAACCATATGCAAACCCGTATCATTTTACCCTCATATTGAGGGCGGACAGTTTGCTGTTTAACATTTATGAGGTATAGTTGCATGATTGGGACTACAGTATACCTCCCTCTGCTTCATGTTGGGTGGTAGTCCCAATCATGCAACACCTCCACCACCACACACACCTATGCTTATGTAATAATAATATGTCATATGATGACCATTATCTCCGGCAGTAACTACAAACATACTATCATTTAATTTTGGATTTAAAATAACTGTAATAAAATAGTGCTCTTGCAACGAATGGGGAGATACATATTTTTTTTTATGCTGCGATAGCTTATCATGAATAATATTCTTGACTTAGGGAGCGATGACTCACTGGAGCAATGTGAACGTTGTGTGAAGGTACCTTTCCTTAAAAAAACTTCAGGCTTTATTCCCACTATCCATTGAAGCCTTACCAAACCAAACTGATAAGTGTTTTAAAATTAATTTTAGAATATTTCTAAGTGATTTACCAAATTATAACTCGCATTCCAACCAACATTTGCAACATCTATGAGACTAACATCAACAACTAGGCAAAGCCATATTCAATGCACTGGCGATCTTGATAGATGTACACAAACCCTAATATCCACTGTCACGTGAACCGAGCCGCCCATTGATACCATTGACCACATGTTTCACATGCTACTCCTCTTTGTTGCCAGTTGAATGAGCAATCACAAGTGGTGGCACATTGATACCGTGTTTTGTTGGTTGACCATTAAAACATTTTATAATTTGATTTGGTCCTGACCCAGAATTTAATGTGAAAGACAACTTTCAATTTTAATCATTCGATATTTATTGTTTCAACAATTTCTTTGCGGATTCTGCATTGCCAGCAGGAGGTTTCACTGATACACCACGTTAGTGTTTCAGATCATTTTTTTGTGTGTTATGAAATTATCCGGTTTTCAAAGAGCGCTATTGGAAATGATTATAATTATTTTTTTTATTATTATTACAAAGTTATTATTCCAGTTATGTTATTGTGCTAGGCTTACTTTTATTTTCTCTTCAGATGAATGTCTTGGTTATCTGGAGGACAAGAATCGGCCACAATACCGCCAATAAAATTGGACTGGAAAGGGGAACAACTGGGTCTCATTTGGGACAGAATCCAACAAGTATGCAATGATAACAGATAATTTTCAATGTCAGAGTGTATAGTGGATATGCTTACAGAATGGATGTAACAACAAAACTACGAGACAAGTCAAGTTGAGATAGTGCAGAGCTTTGAATGAGCAAGGACTCACAGAGATTGCCAACAGGGTCTTTAGTTCTGAGTTAATATCAAGAGTTCACGATGGTAAGTATTTTAGGCCAAATTACAAAAAGTCTTTGTTTCCTCTCCTTGCCCACATCAAAATTTATGCTTTCCAGTCCCAAAATTCAAATCATGTGCCAGCAGAGGATTTTTTCTGACAATTAAAACAAACATCTCCACTTCCTAAGCCTTGTAATGAGACTTCGCTGATACAGCATCATATTATTTTATTAATACAAGAGGGCTGTATGTCAGTTGACCTCCAAGGATACGCTCGAAGGGTCACCCTCTATAAATATGGTTTTCTTTGGGTGATGTGGATAGTTCTAACCATATGGCTACATGTAATATTCATTTAGCCACCATATTGTTTGTGTTAACTTTTCATCACAACAACAACAAAAACAACAACAATAATAATAATAATAATATTATAATAATAATAATTCAATGAGCCTAATTAAAAATAATTTGCATTCTGTTATGACAAATGCTCATTTAGAAAGCCTCATGATGGTTGGAATACATCATGATAGGTGAAGCAACCTCGGCCATAACAGCGTGGTTGACAGATTTCATGCAAAATTTCCAAAATATAGAATTTTGCTTTCAAGACTGAGGATTTGAAAATAAATTAGATGGTTACATTGCATACTCTTTGTTTCTTGTTTTATTCAAAATGTTTTGGTTTTTGGAAGCTGATTTCAACATTAGAAAGCATAGCCTACATGAAGTCATATTATAGTAACTCGATGCCTATCAAATAAGTAATAAAAATTCGCCATAACTCATCAAATACCTGTGGCTACTGGGGGCCCTAGCCAAGTGAGACTCGATTCGCTTCACTAGCCGCCACCCCCCCCCCTTTAGCCCCTCCGTTGGGCAGGTCCTGGCGCCATCACTACGTGTAGACAAGGTTTGTTTGACACATTCATTCATTCTTCATTCAGCCAAAGTGTCCAATAAAATTTACACAGTTAAAATAACAGAAATAACAAACAACTAGAAAAATAACCTAAGATGGCTACGATTGATGATAGTGACGAACACTCTGGCTCAAAAGCCCATCAACCCAGTCTTCAGAAATTACAGAAAAAATAAATAATAAAATATCAATCATTTATTCACAAGAAATTAAATATTAAAGAAATTAACTGTTAAAATAAATATAAACATAAACAAAAAATAGACTCCAAGTGAGGATGTGTCTACAGCTTAAATTACTCTTTACAAGTACAGAGATCATAGGAGTGTAGCAAAATCAACGCACATGACGCTTCTCCATCCTAGCCCTGTGTCCTGGATAAGTCGGCAATAAGTCGGCAACGGTAGGCCTGATTACACTTTTGTCCCATAGTTCATAATGGGTCTTGCGCGCGATTCAACTCAGCAAGCTATTTGTAGAAGGGTAGAAAAATGTCAAACCTGACCAGTATAAATAATGTGTGTTATGTTGGGTTTTAGTGGGAAGGCTGCTTATTAAAGTTAATGGTGAGGAAATTCACTTCCGGCTTTTTATAGATAATTTGTATTGATGCAAAACTCTAAATTTTAAAATGTGTATAAATATTAATATCTTATTTTATAATCTTCTAAAAATATAGGATAAACACTTCATAGTTCTTAAAACGGTTTTTCTCAAACTGGTATGACGAATGTAGATGTCTTACTATGTTGAAAGTGTTGTTCAGAGATAGCGTGCAACATGGGACACTAGCAAAAATGTCTAAGACGATGGACTTGCTGAATGATTTGCTTGTACGTGATTCAAAGGATCTGACTTTACTGTGTGATACCATCAGAGTAAATGGACAATATGGTCTTCAAACAAAGATTCAAGAAACACTGTCATCATTCCTAAATGTTAAAGAAAGGAAAATTTCAACAAAATAAATCACACCTCACAGGCAAAAGCTGATAGAATTGGGGGAGAATTGACTGCAGCTGATGTGTCACAGATCGTTGGATTGTATAATGAGCCTAAGGAGACAGACAGCTGGAGTATATGATACCCGATCTAGAAAGCAGACTGAAAATTAGAGAAGGAAATATGAAAGATTTGATTTGTTGGAAAAATTTAATCTCAGTCAGGCATTGGAGGCACTAACAGAGGGTACTGTATTATTCACTTTTATAAAAGAGAATAAATCATTATGTTGTTGGCAATTATTGTTTATTCTGTCATGAAAGCCTACAAGTTCTTCAAGTTTGTTTATCTATTAATAAACATACTTTGTGGTTGTGTTTTCCCCTTCAGTTTGAATGCATCTACTCTATTGTACATTTCTGTTACATATGTTTATAATACCCAGTGTGCATCATTTTTATTTTATTTTTAATAATTATATATGTTTTCTTATTTAATTCATCAAAATGTTTCAACAGCTGTGACCCTAAACAACTAAACTACAGTGTAGCTTTGAAAATTGTCCAGAGGATTTTACATGTAAATCACTTTTAAGAACATGATTGCAGCCCATTAAACTCCTATTTATCATTTATTATAAAACTTCAGCTGTAAATATTATAATTAGAATAAACAATTGTGAGAACATTAAGCATTCTTGTACCGGTTTTCAAAGAATTGTTATTTTTGTTGAATTGTTGAATTATAAATGTTAAATAAATTGTTATGATTCTCATTAGGTATTAGAGTTTCTGAGGCAAGAGATGAAAGTTTTGACCACTGGAATGAAGCATCCTGTGTTGGATGGGCTCGCAAGAAATGCATTTTCATGATTTGGAAGAGTGGAGAACATTCTATCCTGTGCGGAGAGAGATTGATAACGACAGGCAAACTACATTGGTAGAGCTCCGGCTCTTTAGTCTAACGTTTTGCCCACTTCCTTGATGAGCTTTTACATTAAATGTGGATTCTAAATGAAGGAAAATATATTTAATGTTGCTACTTTCAATGTTAGAGGATTAGACGACAAATTCAAGAGACATCAACTAGCAACAGGTATAACAAATTATAAGGTGGACGTAGCCTGCCTTCAAGAAACTAAACTCACGGAGACGATTGACGAATACGTACACGAATGCCGATCCATCAATCTAGGCACTAAGGTTAAGTATTATGGATGTGGCTTCATTATTCACAAGCGATGGGCACCAAGTATTTCTAAATTTTGGAAAGTTTCAGACTGAATATCAGTTTTACAACTTAAAACGAAGGAGAACAAGTTTATTACTTTAATTAATGTCTATGCACCCACCAGTGACCGGGCAGAAAAATACCCGGCCGAACGTGAACGTATGTACAAGGAATTAAAACTCGTAAGTAAATTTGCAAATAAGACATTTCTTCTAATATGCGGAGATTTTAATTCAAAAATTGGCAAGAAACATTTAGATGAAGAAAAATGTATCGGAAATTATTCAAAAGGATTTCGTAATGATAATGGGGACGCCCTAATTGATTTTTGTGAAAATAACAATCTATTTATCACAAATAGCGCTTTTCAACACCCTGCAAGACACATCACAAC